AAAATATATGATTTACTCTAATAGAAGAAATAATGTCATGTTCTCATTAAATCAGTTCACAGCTGGTCAGTATCCTTTAGTATAGATGAAGTATGAAAGCCATTTTGGTAATTGTCTCATGTGGAAATGATATGCAAGTTATATTATAACTTCTATTTAATATAGCTATTTTTATTTTGATGGCTATTAAAATATGATTTTTTAGAACATTTCAAAGAAGAAAAGTTATGTTTTTCCTTCTCCCTTTTAGAAATGTTAACATTGTGATAAGGATCTTAATTCATAAGGTAGTAGCTGATACAAGAAAATTATTAATGTGCAAATCTAATCCAAGTTTTGAAATCAGAGTTAACATTCACTACACCTATATAGAAGGTACCCCACTGTATTCAGCTTAACCCAGCTGACCCCTTGACTCACTTAATGATGTGTAAAACAATTACGTACTGTGGTAGGCAGGTGGTTACATTCTGATGGGGAAACTCATAATAAAATTACTGTGATAAATGTAGCTCTTTTTGAAAAGGATGCCTTGCAGATGAGAAGCAATGTGTTAAATTGAATATGTCAGAACAATTTTCAGATGAGACTTTGGTAAGCTGGGGCACCACTCACAATGCCCTCACTGATAACATTAAGTTATCAAGATCAAGAATCTGCCAACAAGGAGATTTTAAAAACCTGTTACTGAATGGACCATGAAGCATTGTATCTTAATGATGTCATGTCACAAAAATATATTTTAGCACTTAGGCATAAAAAGGAAACTGTTACTAAGCATAATCTATAGATGCATATTTAGCAGTGTGACAGTCTGTACAATAAATGAATCCATGATATATTGTGCTAATTTGTGCACTTGCTCCATGCACAATTGCCAGTGTCTATATACATTCTCCATAAAACATACACAACACCAAATGCCCACAATGCACCCAGAGAGCCATCTGAAAGCATGTGTTTTCCTAATTGTGTTCTTGTGAATTACCTAGATGGGAGATCACCTAGGAACTCTGACAATACCTTTCTGAGGCCTTTTGGAAATATATTTTAGTTCATGGCATAGATAATTCCTCCCTGCCCTGCCCCCCCCAAACAGCTGGAACTGATTTATGCATTAAAAAATCATATGAAATATTTTCAGAAACATGTGCTTTCTTACTAGTGAACCTAACTACAGACTATTCATCTATAAAAATAGGAAGTATAATCCTATAGTTATATTTATTTCCATATGCACTATGCTCTTTGATAAATTTGAAGTCTGTGGAATTATTAAAATCAAGGGCAGAATTGTAGAAATCACTAAGTCAGCAATGCTCCTGATCAAACAAATGCAGGCTCTCCATGGCTGGACTCTATCAAAGCTCTAAATACAAAATGATTAATGGATTTCATTCAAGCCTTGCTTTTTTTTCTCTCTTTTTCTCCTTTTCTTTTTTGTCTAAACAAGTTTCCATTGTGCATCTGTTCCTTGTCTCACTGTACTAGACACACACACTTGTTTATGCATATCGTAAGCGCAGGCATCTTGATGCAAATAGCACCATTCACCATTGTAAAATGCAGGATCGCCTCCAAGGATAATGACAATGTTTTTGTTTAACAACACAACCGAGGTCATTTGAATGTGACCATTGTATTCTTCCTTTCTTGTAGGAGTTGTAAACTGAAACTCTACAAGTCTGGTTTTCGCATTTCTTTTGAGATACATTATAGCTTTAAGGAAAATTGACTGCTGAAGCAGAAAGAGATGGGAAAAGGGATACACCAGTACTGTGGACTTACAAGAGCACAATAGTATAAAAGCAACATGATGACAGTGACTGCTTGTCCAGTCCAACATGGAAGGGAATTTAGTAGTGGATAAACCACCCAACCAGGTCTGACTTGGATGGGTCCGGGTGTGTTTTCCTGTCCAGATGAAGTTCGGTAGCCAGCTTGCTCGTCCAGTTTGCAGCCTGACTCTCTCGTTGCAGCATGCATCATTTTATATGCCTCCATCTTCTCCCCTCTTGGTCATCCTGCTTTTTAAAAACAAAAACAAAAAGTTCTCATCATAGAAACCATTGCTCAAAGAAAGATACTCCAGCCTACTGATAATTCTGTTTGTCTCTTTTCCTCCATACCTTGTTTAGCTATATATCTTTCTGGGTATGTGGCAAGTAGAATAGTTCAAGGGGTACCCTTTGTATACAGCTACTTTGATAAAAGTGGCTTCTATCCATTTTCTAATATACTGTCTGGTTCTTCATAGTTGTACTCTGAATTGTTTTCATTAAGCTGCCAAAACCCAAATCTATTTCATTATGTCTGTGAAGTTAGGATTTTTGACATATTAAACTTTTTTTGTCACTTTCCCAGTCCCAAGAGGTAAGTTTTAAGCTTTTTGTAGTCCAGTTTCGTTTTCACTGCTTTGACTAATTTGATGTCCCCCAGAAGCATACATCACTGCTCACTGCTAACTTCTTATCACTGATAAAATGCACCTGACCTAATTCAAATTCTTGAAGGAATTGCACTTTTTTTCATTCCTTTTCTGGTAAAAATGCTGTTTTATTCTGCTTCCTGTTATCTAGCCAGGTTCTAATAACCAATCCATAAGAGATCAGTCTGGTGGTAGCTAAGGAGGAATTCATTTGGAGCATGTAAATTCAACACATTTTCCTGATTCAGGCCTCCCGATCCTGTTCTGTTTCCCCATGCTTGCACCAACTAGATCTGATATTGGCTGAACCAGTTTTACAATAGACTGAGATTTGCAAGCGTTTATTATTTTAAAAACCCATGTAAATAGCATGTGTATGGACAGTAAATGTTGTTGCATATTATGGATGTTGCTATTATCATGATTCTAGTAAAGTCTAAATAAAAATCTGCTTTGAACAGTTTTGAACATAGTAACAATAGGTATATGCTTTTAGCTATGTATTCTGGCCAGACAGCTGCACTATATACTATATTCAGACTACTTGATAACTGACATAGTGAAATAATTTGCCTGATTCTTTTTCTGAGGGAGAACTAATTTTAAGAGGACTTTAGGACTAACTGAATGAAAAAGAAGGCTTTGTGGCCTGTGATTCCTGCAGAGATCACAGGTGGCTCCTTCTCCAACCAGGCACAATGACCACTCCTCTGGGGTGGTCCATCCCTTTCTTCCCTGTTTCTCCCACTCAAAGACCCCCCAATGGGATCCCCCAGCCCCTCCTTCCTTCTTGGAATTGGCACACTAGGCTGCTTGTGCTTGAGCCAATGAACTCTCCCAGCATGTCCCATCTGACAGCACTTCCCATCCCTTCCAGCTCCTTGCTGTAGTGTGGAGGCAGGCATGCACACAGGGACCAGTTACGATTCGCCAGCTTCCCTCGAAGGTTTGGGCTTCAAAGTCGTGAATCCCTGTAACCCAAATCCTGCTTTGCACTCATCAGCTACAGCAGCATGGGGCATGCTGGGGTAAGCTCTTGCAAGACCACCAGCCTGACCTGCTCACTTTCGGAACCTCAGGAAAAGAGTGGACAGAGCTGGCAGCCTCACAAGAGCTCACTGCACGCATACCTGTGCCATTGCTGAGAGCCAGGCTGGGGCAGGGGGCAGGGCCCCGAGCTGCAGGGGGGGCACAGAACCAGGCCTCAGGGGCTGCGTATTGGACCACCCCGTGCTAGCTTATAACATCTAATCTGTACATTGCACTCTGTTAGCATCTCACTGACACTATAAGATGAAAAGGTTGCTTGACTACTTCAGGCAAATGTTCATACGTGTACTGATAAATGCTTGCCTTTGCTAACAAATGATTCAAAATAAAATAAATGCATGCTCTTAGATAGCAATCCAGTACAGACTTAGCTAGGGATAAGACAATTGGCAGGATTTACATATCGTGACAAGCAGTTCCACACCATTCAACCATGCACTTTTTTTTATCATGGATGTGCCTGAAAGGTGATCAGGCTTATCATGGTAACTCTCCTCCCATGCACCATTTTCTTCCCTCTCAGTCCTCCAGGTAGTATTCCCAGTAGGTACAGCAGGGAGGAATGAAACTCCTCACTTTGACAGCCATGATTGTGAGTCAGGTCCAGCTCACTGTGGCTGTCAAGTAGTCTTGTCTCATAAACAAGGCTCATGCAGTAGCAGGAGAAGGAACTGGGTCAGGTCCCCTTCTCCCGTGTTCCAGAGGTGTCTACTCAAGCAGGAAGGGGTCCACAATCCATGCCACATAGGAATGAGTATGAATACATGGATGAACTAGCAGCAGGGGCAAGAAGCAGCATGGAGGCAGTAGTGATGGAGAGGTGGCACTGGTCTTCCCCTTCTCACTCTGGCTTGCCAAAGCTTGTGCCCACAAAGCAACTTTAGAGAATTTTTAGGGCTGGAGGCAGGAAGGGGAAGATGCCTCTTAAAGCTGCTTCTTATGGCAGCAATCAGTGGTGCTCTCTGGTGCTTGGCAAGAACAGCAGCAGGCTACTCTTGTGTAGTGGCTCTATGGTTCCAACCTTGGTCTCACAGTGAGTGGTGTTTTCCCGTTCAGATGACACAAACAAGCAATCATGGTACCAAGTAACCATCAAGCAGACCATTTTTCTTTTCATAGTTTCTCAAAACCAAAGGCACCAAGTTGAGATACTATGAGTAATGACACAAGAGACCAAAATAAGAAAGCAAGCAAGCACTGCTGCTTGTTATGCATGTAAACCTGCCTACTGAATTATCTTATTTCTGTTAAATTCCAGCTTAGTTCTGAATAAACTTGTATAGAGCTGTACATGTTTTGAAGGCAGTAACCACAGATGGAAACAAATTTCAATATTCATCGCGCCCATCTTGATAGGGAAACTGAATGCATAGCCAAGTCCAACACATGCAGATCTTCCCAATCAAGCAGAGCTAGGCGTGAGCACAGAGGCCTTTTCCAAAAGCGTAACTTCCTTGTGCTTGGGACAATGAACTTCTGTGATCAGAACAATTCAAATAACTTTTATTTCTGTTTCTGTTAGCAGCAGCAACAGAAGAACCGGAGGTAATTCCTGATCCAGCGAAGCAGACAGATCGTGTTGTGAAAATAGCAGGAATAAGTGCTGGAATTTTAGTTTTCATTCTCCTCCTACTACTTGTCATACTAATTGTCAAAAAAAGGTAGGTATCGTACATTTGCTATTTCCTATTCATTCAGTGCAGTCAAATAACCTAAAAATTATTTCACAGGGATTTCAACAAAATGTTTGTCAGGCAGAACACTTTTATTCTGAAATTAAGACATGTTGCAGAGTGGAGAACCAATATTGTACTGTAAATTCAAACTCTTTTATAAGGCCATGGAAGGTAAACACACTATGGCATGGAAAATACATTGATGTAATTGAAATCATACTTCTGTATTTACAAACCATACCCTCAGTTTTGTAAGGCTTAAGCCAACCTTGGTTTAGGCATGTCAAGTCTACTGTAGCTACAAAGTAACTGATCAACTTGTCTTGAGAAATATGTTATGGTTTATGTTACCTCCATTTGCATCTTTGAAAAATATTAGAAATGTTTTAAAATCACATTACTTTGGCATAAATGTACTATTAGATTATAAATATTCAAAACTTTGTATTCATAATTTTCATAAAACTTTTACCATTTTTGTGGGGAAATAGCATGCATTAAATAAATAGATTTTTTTCTGAACAACTTCCAAAGGCATGACAAAAATCAATAGCGCCATCTTCTGGAATAATAAGAACCTTAAGGAAACATTAATAGGTTTAAATCCTCAGTTGAACTGCTTAACTGTTGCTGCTTTGGAAGGATAACATTTAACTTGTAAATTTCATTAACTGTTCATCTGGCATAAATGTTCATCATCAACATCTATAAATGGTTAAGAGGCAAACAACTAATAAAAAGCTATCAAATCACTCCCTGCATTTCCCCCCTTTCCCCCTCGATCCCTTCTGGATGCACAGTCTTAACTGTTTTAGAGTAAGACAATTTGGACGTATTAAGCTGCTTGTACCAAGTCTATTCAATGGCCCCTTTAGCCCAGTATAGTTTACTGTGACAGTGAGCAGCTGCCCAGGACCTAGTGCTATTTGCACTCCTTTAACTGGAGATGCCGGAAGTTGAATCAGGGACCTTATGCATGCAAAGTGTATAGTCCACCAATGAACTGTAGACACTTTGCTTCAGAGATGCATTGCAGAGCTTTTGAGTTTTCTCAACAAGAAAAGGGATATAAACAAGGATACATTTATATTTCTATTTTATGCTAAAATGAAATGATTTTTCTATTCATTTTACCAAATGGAAAAAAATTACCATTGTACCTGAAAATCATATTTGTGTCTGAATGGTTTCCAATAGATTTTTTAAAAAAATTTATTGCCTTTTTACAATTACCCCTGGAGATATATAACATGGAGAAGAAACGTCTGCATTAGAAATCTTAGGTATGCTTAAAGTGTTCTGTGTTAGTTAGATACATACGTGGTTTTCCCGACAGTGCTTTCACTCTTTTTTTCCTGTTGTGTACTGTTGTGCTTGAGAATAAATATACGTACTATAGGCCAGTTCATATTAAAATGACAAGCAGTCCAACTCAATTAGGTATTTATACAAACCAAGGTGCTAGTCAATAAACAGCTTCCCAGGTTTTAGCTGGACTCTCTGCTTAAATGAAATCTAATTGATTATTAACTTGTAAGGATACTTCTATGGGAAGTATTCTTAGAATATAATTTAGCAGAGAGATGCCCTTATAGATTTTACACTGATCTACTTACTTACATATTATTAAGGCCATGTTTCACATTACCCTTTCTGGAAATACTAATTTACCTTTAGCGTATGATAGACTGGTTTACAGTTACTGCTCTTCCCACTGTTTCCCTATACTATGGAAGCACTTCAGGAATGGTTATTTTTATATGCCTTACATGGGGAGGACAAAATTTTGGGCATTTGGGCCAAGTGTGACATTGTTACATTGGGCATTTGCTAGAATCCTCAACAAACTAAACAAAGCAAACTTAGAACACAGTACCTCTTATTGCATAAGCAGCCTTGCTTGTCCTGTTGCACTTAACATGAGCACAACAAGAACTAGCTCTTCCTAAACCAGTTTAAATGCTCTTTTCTGGGACAGACCAGCTCAGCAGAGCTCCCTTCTAGCTCTACTGACATGCTTCCTTCTAGAAACAAGAGTTTATGCTAGTCTTTTGTTGCTTCAGGAACTGCAGGTGCATAAAATTTTATATTGATGATAGATGTTACTGTTTCAAGAACAGGCTTACATGTCTGAGCCCACCTGCTATCAAACATGATTGGAGGGATATATCAGAGGAGGCGGGTTTTCGTTAGAGTAGCCTGGATGAGAGATCATGGGTACTTCCTTTGACCCAGATCCATGGGGTTGGCAAAGAGACTTTTGTCTGACCGCGGAGAACAGTCCAGCCCTGCAAGTTCTCTGATCTGAATTCTGATTAATTTCAACAGCTATTTATTTTATTGTGCCTTCCCGTTACTAGGAGGCAGTAAAAATCTTGTTGAAAGTATGGTTTTTTAGCAGTTTTCACCATCGCAAGACAGTTCCCCCTTTAGGGTGGCCTAAAAATCATTTTAAATAAATAAACTAACAAACTTGAGGGAGGTTCTCAAGCATTTATTTTCCATATTTGAAGGGTAACTATTTAGGAGACAAACACTATGAAAAATGCCATGTCACCACATGCTCTGGTTCATTGACATTTATGTTTTAACCTAATTTGCATGACATTTTCATAACTGTTTGCTACCTTGCTTAATTTACCACTTCATGAACAAGTTGGTGATCCTGTAGTGAGTCAACCTTTACAACACTGAGCCTTTGATATCATTTACAGGAATTTACTGATGGATGCTATTAATTTAGATTAAAAGATAATGAATATAAATCCCCTATGTACATTGAAATAACCAGCCAGTTTCTTTGCTTTCCTGGAATTGTCCTTGCATTTTTGTGGAGAGAGCTCCATAGAAATCCTGCTGGTTTTCTCAAGTGAATTCACATTTACCTGATACTGAATTCACATATTTCTTCTATAGTTTAAGAATGTCATTATTTATTTATTTATTTATTTAAGATATTTATATGCTGTCCTGTCGCAAAAAGCCTCAGGACAGCTTACAACATAATTTATTGATAAATTAACAATATAAATATGTTTCATTAACCTCCAAATGTGAAACAACTTATTAGTATGAGCAAAACCTGGTAATACTGCAACAGATGCTTTTTACATTCCCATCCTCCTCCTTTTCTAAAGTGGAAAGAAAATTAGGTCTTTTCATGAAACTTTAATGTTTGGGAGTTTTTCAGGATGCTTAACTTAGTCAGATGTCTGTTATAGAACAAAGGTCATTTATTCTCTTTCTTGTTTTTTTTTTCCTCCATCCCATCAAAGGTGGACATTTTTTATACATGAGCCTTTAAACGAAACTCACCAAAGACATTACCTAACACGTTGCATACTCAAAAGTCTAATTAACAAATGGTTTGAAATATATTAAAATTGACTGAAATGAGATTCATATCTTTCATGTTGTACATTAAGATAGGTAAGGCAATTTCAAGCCAGGTTCTAAGTTATGCTTACCCTGTAAATGCTGTATGGCTCTGTCTCCTGAAGTCTCTCCCATCGATATGCAGAAGAAGCTGAGAGAGATCACAGACAAATATAGTAATGGGTTGTGTTGCCCATCCAGGCATATCCTTTTCTTCATTTGCCCCTAATGCCTTTCCCAAATACAGGAAAAATGAGCCTGCAGTAGTGATAGTTCAATGAAGCTGAACAAGTCCCTTCTTCCCTGCATGTTTGACTGCAAGCAGGAAAGTCTTTGGAATTCCCAACAGCAGAGCCAGGCTGCTGCCAAGCAATGAGCCTCACATAATCTCCTGGCTCTCAAGCCAAGGATTGCCCACTAGCTAAAGCGCATGTTGATGCTTGATGTGTGAGCATCTTCCCATGTGATTCCGAGGACCAAAAATGTCAGGCATTGTCTGACATGGAACAATCTTGTAAGAGAGACTGTGGAGACAACTATCTCTTGAACCAGGTTGAACCACAACATAGCTGAGGTGTCATGACTAAGACCCACACTAGGTTTTGGATCAGGAGCCCTCTGAAGTAAAAAGGAGAAGTCTGTTTTGGCCCTGACATGCTTTACATTTGAGTAGTATAAAGAAGCATCCTTTGTATCTTATGGGGAATCTATCTTAAAACGACTTACCACAAAAAACTATTACCATGATGAGCTATTAACACCTGTGAGCATTTCTGCCTTTGTTCAATCAAGATTTGAAAGGTTTTCTAGACTAGGATAACTGTAATATTGAATTACCAGTAACCCCAACAGAGACAGACAGAAATTCTGTTGTAGTAGACTCCGCACATTGTTCTTACCTCCAGATAGTCATGTGGAATTATCTCATTGATTAGGTGGGAAAAAATGATCTCTACCCAGGTCCTTTACCTTAACTGGGGTCAAGTTTTTTAAAAATTGATTAATTCCCCTGTGAATTAGGGAAATGTGTCTTCTATTTTACTAAATGGAGAATTTGTTCTCTTGCAAACACTCAGCATGACAACACAGAGCAGTTAAATTGAAAACATGTATTTTTGGTTTCCAGTTTTAATCCTAAATGCTTTAGCGTACTTCTAGGTGTTCTAAATGATAATTGATTATCATTTTGTACATACATATTAGTGATTTCATCATGTGGTATCCCTTTTGGTACTTGAACTTTATAATATTTTAGGAAGATCAGAAAAATGTTTGCTAATTTCACATAGGTTGCTCCTACACATTAATACAGATTTCCAAATTTGATTTATTGGGAAGAAAATCTGAGTGGTAAGCAGTTGTGTATTATCTCACAAATCAGAGGTGTCTTATGCTTTGCCTGATCATTTTGTACAAACTTATTTGAAGTTAAAATGGATGAAACTCTATTAACTATTATAGAGTTTTACAAAGTAATCAAATTACACAAGAAAAGGGATACTGCATCTCTTGAATAGCAAATACTGGTTTTTGTTTTTTAACCATTGTTGAAATATTTCCAAGTGACCATCATTTCCTTCCATCTGTTTACTTTCTTTTTTCAAGCTAAG